AGTGATAACAAAATTTATAAAACAAATTTGGTAATAAAACAAAAAGTTATAATGGCGCAATTGGTTCCCGATGTTGTTATTTGGTGAGTAAGCCCTAAATACATATTTTTTTTTTTATAAAAATGTATCCATACTTATTGTTCCTCCACCCTCCTTAAATAGCGGACTAGTGTTCACGGCAGCTCTATTGGTACACTTCTTTTCGGATATATTGCGAATTTCCTTTGGTGGCTATTATACACATGCCACACTCTCACAGCTTGTGGAATCCCAATCCACCAAAGAATATTCTTGGTTGTTGAAACTTTTAGCCAATTGTTTTGGTTATAGTTGTGTCTTTGTACCTGGCTATCTTATTTACAAATATGTTAAACGCACAAATTATCTGGAAAAGAATGGTAAGAGTACTTAGAAAACAGCCTTACAGATATGCAACTTTATTCAGTACTATGTTTTTATATTACAGACAAAACATGCATTTATACTGCGGTCAGTATGTGCATTACTGGCAGTCCTGGCACTGAACTTGACTATTCTGAGCCGTTGGAACGCAAACCCATGGAACCGTTGACACCGCCTAATGGCTTGCAGAAACACACAAAATCCCAAGAAACATTACTACTTTTCTGGTGCTTTGGTGGACTAATGGTTTCATACCTCACTTGGGGTGTACTACAGGAGAAAATTATGACGCAGCAATATTTCAATTACAATGGTCAACCGTCGCATTTTAAGGACTCACAATTCCTTGTCTTCTGTAATCGTCTTTCAGCTTTTATCTGTGCAATAGTGACACTACGCCTCAAACGTCCAGCCGGCCGTCATTGTACACCACTATATATGTACTCCTTTGCATCTTTCTCGAATATAATGAGTGCATGGTTCCAGTATGAAGCACTCAAATTTGTCAGCTTCCCTACGCAGGTGCTAGCAAAGGCATGCAAAATTATACCTGTCATGTTGATGGGTAAAATTATATCGAAAAACAAATATGATTGGTATGAGTATGTATCCGCTGTACTAATATCATTAGGCATGATATTCTTTATGACCGGTTCAGCGAACAGCACCAATGCTAGTAGTGTGACAACATTCACTGGCATCTTTTTGCTTACAATGTACTTAACGTGCGACAGCTTTACAGCGAATTGGCAAGATGATTTATTTAAGAACTATGAAATGTCGTCATTGCAAATGATGGCTGGTGTCAATCTGTTTTCCACCATCTTTACAGCAACCTCATTGTGGGTACAAGGCGGTTTTATAGATTCGCTTACATTTGCGAGCGAGGTAAGCTAGAAACATGCTTTGAGAACCATAAAAAATATACATAATTTTTTTTTTTTTTGCTTAACAGCATCCTAAATTCATACTTGATGCCATTACAATTTCCATGTGTTCCGCTGTGGGTCAATTATTCATTTTCTATACAATATCGGTGTTTGGTGCAGTTGTATTTACCATCATCATGACTTTACGACAGGTGAGTGGTTGTGTGTGCCTAGGCGTGGAAAAGCATACATACATGCATATGCGCCAGAGCGCGATAGTGTCAACCGAGTCTGGTGTGAAAAATAGGCCCATTTTATTTGTTTTATATTTTATATTTGTACAATATGTACGCAAGTATAAATAATGGTACATTAGAAATGTGTTTTGTAGCAAGCAAATTTAAATAGCTGGCTTATTAAATGAAATGCTGAAAGTTGAAAAGAAAACATGTTCAAATATTTTATATTTATGTATGTATGGTCATGTAAATATTTACTTTCAAAATTCAGTAGGAACTAATTTTTCATTAAGGCAAGTTATTTCAAGCAACCTTGACTAATCAACTGCATAGTTCTAGAATAAAAGGGGAAAAATATGGGCTGCACACCTGCATCTGAATCAATTTTGTATTCTTGTAGGCGATACGTAAGGAATTGATGTGTTTAGGTGCTTTTAATATAATTCAATAACAACTAAAATATATTCCCATAAGTGTGTATGTATGTACGAAAAAAAGACGAGTTTAATATTTATCGACAACCTAGAGTAGGTATATGTATTTGATTTAATTTCATCTCAATCCTAATATTTATTTTTCGTATACATATATTAATTTTTTAATTATTTCTTCTCCCCTCACTCTAGGCGTTTGCAATATTGCTTTCCTGTTTGATTTACAAACACAAAATATCGGTGCTCGGTATTTTCGGCATACTGGTTGTATTCTTTGCAGTCTTCATGCGTTCCTATGGCAAGCAACGCATGAAAGTGCTACGCAAACGAGCCGAGGTGCACAAACCGAAAATGGCTGCGTAGTTGACACAACTGGAGGATGGAAAAAACGAAAGCAGTACTGGTAGTGGTAATGTTACTTAAAAAAAGCTTGTAGAGGCAAACAATTGAAATATGAATTTAGGCATGTGAATCAAAATTAATGGCGTGCTTACTAAAGCATAGTATCCAGCTCTCAAGAAAAACCAAAAATTTAAGAAATCAAAAAGGATCTGTCTTCTATCACAATTTCTTAAATCAATTTGCGTTTGATGACATGCTGATCAAGAAAGCAACAATGTTGCAATATTACAATAATTATTACGTAGCTCGAAGACACGCTTTGCTAGTACATATCCCTCGTTTACTTCATAACTAAAAAACCGAAAACTCTAGAAAAACTGCTTTAAAGTTTAGAATTTACATAGCTTTATCTTAATATACATATACATACATATAAGGTAACGATATATTTCTATAGTAAAAATTAATGTGTACATATTTTGTTCTATGTAGTGAGCTACTGGTAATCGTTATAGCTCTGAAATTTTTACACTGCATAGAAGAGCAGGTAGCGGTAATTTCTACATACTTAACTCGATTTTGTATTATTTTGAATTATTACACTATTGAAGTTAATGAGCTATAATTATGTATATTTATTTCTTCAAGAAAGCAACGGCAACATAATTTTTCAAGCAACAAAAATATGGTGAAAAATATTTCTTGTGATTTTTCTTGAGAGCTGGAAATTAAACTTAAGGAAACACTGGTACGCTACGGGCTGGCAGGGCGGCTTAAGCGTTAAGAGACTTTCTTAAATTTATTAAAGCAGACTTGCATTACGTATCGACTTCCGCTGAAAAAATATACGGCATGCGCTTGCATGTAACATATTTCGTTAGTTAATTTATGTAAAATTTAGGAGAAAATGTAAATTTAATTACAAATATTTTTGTATGTCAAATTTAAATTACGATGCTGCTTTTGCTTATATAGCAAATAAAAAGAATGGTTTATTTAGCTTTTAAGTGGAATATGTATACGCAGTTTCGTTTATATCCAGCAGCTAATGTGTTAAATTGATTGTTGTTCGTGCAAATATTATAAGTAAACTTTTGTTGTATGTATGCAGAAAAGTAAAAATGTGCAAAATTATAAAAGAATCTCTTAATATATATACTTGCACTTGTTTATAAAACAAATACCGAAATTTCGCTAAGGCAAAATTTTGCGAAATAAAAGAGGCACTTCCATAAACTGGAAATGGCCTAAATAACTATGAATGTTTCGAAACTTTGAATTGTTGAATTTTTATGAAAAATATTTTTCAATTTCATATTTTCGGGTTATTCGGAATGACATAATTCAAGAGATAAGTGCAACTATTAATATGAGCAGGCGTTAATTCTTCGCTAAAGCCATGTAAAATATCTGCTTTGATTTATATTAAGGTAAATTATGAATTTTTAGGGCGGTTACAATTTTTTTTTTTTTAATTAAAACGACACGATTTTAATGTAACTTTACATTATTTTATAAATCCTCATCGAATTTTAAAGTTTAAGGAGCATAAGTACATATACATATAGTGCAATTTAAATACTGGCAATTTATATTTGTTCCATTGTGTGACTAGTTGTATAAAAAACATTATATGAAAACCAGAATGTGAAGTTCAAAAGTAATAAATGGTTAAAAACCTTAAACTTATGTACATGTGTATGCATTGGCTAAGTATGTGTGGTATGTATTTAAATATTTATAATCCGATTGTGATATTCTTAACAACTATCAAAGTTGGGATAAGTTAAAAAAACAGTTTTCGAAAATTAGCTTTCAAAAACATTCCAAGACGCTGTTTCAACGAAAGAGCTAACCGCACCGACGGAATATGCATGCTGGTGCTGAAAAAACGTGAGTCCGAAAGAAATATACTGTCGTTATTGCTGAGTTGTGGAAGTCCCTATTCAAGTCAGGAAAAACTGCACACAAAGGAGTTAGCATAGATCCAACAAAGCATATATCAAAATGACGAATTTTTAGCGACGAAATTTTGGGGCTTCAAGAGTGCATTGGGCCTCAAGATTTAACCTAGCGATTGTGAGGCATTTACTCACAAAACCACAATGCCTTGATGCCCCATGGCGGCAATGGAAATTAGTCTCGAGCTCACGCCACTGCACATAAAGATATATGCAACCAAACGATCCCTCACAAACTTCATCAGAGAGAATTGTGGAAACAACTAGTAATTTTTAGCAAAAAAAAACCGACTTCAACTCCCATATAAAAAAAATATATATATATATATATCTCATGATCCGCTGATCGGATCTAGTATGGGACCACCTCTGAGACACTACCTTTCCGATGCAAAAAGAATTATCGAAATCGGTTGACGCGGTCCAAAGTTATGCGGTAACATACATAAAAAAAATAAAAAATAAAAATATAAAAAATATTCCGACGAACTGATAACCTCCTCCTTTTTTGGAAGTCGGTTAAAAATAAAGTGATATCATATCGAAATATGTAAATTTTCGGGTTTCGACCGAAGTGCTTTAAACTAACCGGAAGTCCATTCTTTTAAATGGGCCATACATTCTTTTACTACAGATTCGTGTTCTGCGGATAAAAATACCTAATTTCAGTTTAATTTTTTTTTTT